GTCAACTTTGCACCAAGCACCCTCGTAACGTTTTCCCAAACAGTTCGCCGATACTCAATCATACCTCTTGGTTCAGAGAGGCACTGTGAAAGTAACTGTCTTGCAAAATAAACACGTCACAATGACCCGGGACGGAACAAGAATCAACACAAACTGATCTGCAATCGGTTCCCTTCTCGCCCACTTTTGAGCAAGACTACGCCCGCCCATTTCAAATATTCACCCAGATAAAGAAATTACGCATTCTACTTACCAACGCCTGCCGTGCTGCCTTGAGATCCTTCTGACGGATTTCAAACTGTGCATACAACAGCCAGACTTTACCGAAAGTGAACTGGAAATGAAAAAACAAAAAACAAACATTCGTTGCTTAATCTCGTTAAAAAGAAACCGAAATGTATCCAAAACCTTGCTTATCCTTTTAAGAACAAATTAAGGATAACAAAATAATACTTAAATGGAAAAGCAAAGTTTCCGACAACATGAAAAAGTCCTAGTTTAAGTTTTACTCTGTCAAGCCATATGAAGACGTAAAGGGATTATAAACTTGGGAACATTGTCCTAACATAACCCTAAATTCCTATGAGTACCCGACAAAGAAGTGATTGGTTATTAGTTGGGAGAATTAGGGTTTCAGAAATAATCAGACAGAGTAGGGAACGTTGTAATGTTCAAGAAGTAGTATAGTACAGCATATAACAACCGCTACGCGCTGCAAATAAGGTAGTTCTCAACAGTTGTTTACCTTCTTGTGTGGTATAAGATCCAAACATGCACGATACACCTGTCTTGTGCGGTCAATGTCCTGTAACAACAAGAATCAGACGGACATAAGAAAACGTTAAGTTTTCAATGCGGTATAAAATTTACCTCTGCACTTTGGAGAAGTGTTGGCACAAATTTCTAATAGTTCACTTGCTAAACTCTGGAACTAGAGGTCTGTGTTCGACCCTTCATTGTGTTCCGTTCATGACCATGCCACTTTAATTTTGTAGTGCTTCTTTTCTCCCAGGGGTACAAGTCTGAGAGGGTACAAGTGAACTGCCATGAAAACCGAAGGAAATACTCAGGGAGGGGAGAGGGGTAAAAAAAAAACCTGGGGAGTAGGGTGAACTAAGATGAACTAGCTTTCCATGGAAGGATATTGACAAAACCGCTCTAATCCACCTTAGGTAACAAAACCCGGATTATGAAGAACTTATACGAGTCAGTTTCTTCTGCAGACTTGATCTACATCTGCGTAGGCCAACAGCTGCAAAAGTAGAACAAACCTTCGCCAGAAGTTCTTCGTACAGCGCATAGTTGATCCACAGGTAAATGTATCGTCTCCATAAACGCTTTTCCTCGGCGGGTGGAATATTGGCGATGGCTCTTTCGTAAACTTCTCTCACTGCATCGGGATCTGCCTCACTTTCCATCAGACGAAGGTAATCAAACCACGCGTCGTAATTATTCGGATTTGTTTTCACCTCCTGGTGAATAAAACGAAAAATAGAAGATTAAATGTACTAGTTGTATATACTAGGTTTGACATGACCTAAAATGAAGCTGCATGCTACAGGCTTTCCCTTTAACACTTTTCTCTGGCAGTGTGGAGGAAAAATTGTGATACGTTTTTCCTTGACATATCGCCCGGCTCAACTAACTGAAATATCGGTTACTTAAAAAAGAGACTGTTGAACGAAAATGAGTTCAAGACGAATTTTTTTCCCTTGTCCCATCACAGATTTAAATCCCCACCCAGAGCACGAAAGACATAGGAGCCTTACCGGAAAATTTAACGATCGCGCATGCAAGGGACCGTGGGTAGTGATTTGTATTCCTTTTCTCTCACACGGGGTGGCTCAAGCGCGCTCGCTTCGCGTTTCCTCGCCCTACTATTGCTATATCGAAAAAAGGCAAGACAGCTAAGGAAAGATTCGCTTCCTGCTTGAATAGATAACTTGACGAGGTGGCTTGCCAAAGAGAACCTCTAAAAGGACGAAGTCAAAAAGAATTGCTACAAAGGCACTTGAATAATTTCGGCTGAACGCCTGAAGTTAAACAATGCGTGACCTTGTTTCTTCTCGCACGGAATTTGCAACAAACATCACACACTGCTTCTTTTTTTCTTTTCTTTTTGTTTTTTTCCATCAGCCCCCAAAACTATAGAAACAATCATCCATGTTAAAAAACATTTCTATGATATTTTATAATTTTACTAAGTTTAATTTTACTAAGTCCTTTCCTGTGAACTGACAAATTAACTTCACCTGGAAGCATTCTAAGGGGAAAAAATGAGGTAAGATAGGAAAACATAAAAAGTCGAAACCAAAGAATGAGC